TTTTTTTCTTAGAGTGATCCATTGCAGCGTAATTCATGACTTTATCCTGATGGGTTACAAACGGAGCAAACGGGTAATGAACTGGAGACTAGTTTGACCGGTCAAGATAGTTAGTAAACTGTTAGATGATTACAAACGTAGAATAAGGAAATGCGGCTTCTACTTACCCGAAAATAATGGAGAACCATCCAACGCCGTTGGACAAAGACATATTGCACGCGACATGTCTGCTGAAGTAATGCACTGCCCACCATTCATACATGTTACACCACGGTGTACGATATAGGATTTTGGGTTTGACCCATTAAGAACTTCTGCCCAGTCCTCACTTTCCGTTATGACAGGGCCCTCGTCCTTAGACAGATCGATGGCATTTTTATTCAAGGAAGGAATGGAGTAAAATGTTTGACACGGATCACGTCGGGCGAAACAATTGTCTTCGGGTAGTTCAAGAAGAGGTTCATAACCATATTGACAAGTACAGTTGTATGAATCAGTTCCGAGAACCCCATGACATTCATTGCCCAAATTTACACGACAGTTCTCATTACCTGTTGTTTGGGACTTGGGGAAAGTTTCAAAAAAGGCGAAAACGTGCCAATAGACAATAAGTAGTCACTATACTCTGCGCTGAGCTAGTTAGTGTAGAACGATGTCAGATCTACTCCTTTTTTTTAACATTTCTGCACTTTACCCTACATTAGAAACCTAAAGTTGAGCGCAAAGATAACTGTTTAGTAGATACTCACTTAAAAACTCGCCTACGAAAATTAGGACGTATACATTACCATCTTTCGGGGATGAAATGTTTCAGTGACAACGGCTAGTAGCGTACACAGGTGATCAACTCATTGGGGAATAGCAGGTCCTTGAGCCCTCTCGATTCGTCTGCGGATACTTGGTCGTGTAAAATACACGATATCGTCATAACATCACCTTAGAATCCTGGCTGCTGGCTGGCACAGGTAATAATTGATGTGGACAGTCCCATTTTTAGGAATAAAAACCATCGCTTTGCTGGAATTTAGTTTGAATAGCGTTTTCAATGAGTTTCCTGAGGGACGAATTTGCCGCCCGCTATCCATTCACTACTATCGCACCTTATATTACTCTGGCAAAACTAGCTGCCCAAATACTAAGTGAACCGAGTTGGTAACTTTTACCAATAAAATCTACCCCTCCCGTAAATTATTATACAATAAGCTATTTTGGTTGTCTTGAAGGGTCATTTCCATCATATGAACATCATCCCAAATTTCGGCCTCTAGCACTCCCAGCTGACATTCAGTTACCAGTTCTTCAGGTTCGTGTACTTTAAGTTAGAGACAAATTAAAGCGTGTTTACTTAGCTCAAAGCCCATATCGCAGGTAAGGCCTGCTGGATGAACCATGGATGAATTATGGCATGGCACTGCATTCCATCCCAACCTCAGAGCGCAGTTACTCCGGGCTGGCTCCCCGATCGCATACGTTAAAGTTTGTTCATGTAGTAAGCACACTGGTCATGATCGCAGCTTTGGGTGGGTTTTAATGGCAGTTCTTGCAGTGCGTGTCCACGTGGCACGCGCGCATTTATGTAGGCATGCCCCTTTTATGAGCCAGTAGTGAAAAAAACAAAAGGAAATCCGGTTCCCAGGGCAGGATTCGCCAAATCACAGTGCGTTCCCTGTCGGACGCATGTGTTTCCACCACCCTACGTCGGCAAGCGTTCTTGAAGGACAGCTGATCACATTTGCAACGTAAGCTGAAACCCCGAACTTCTGTACATCTGTATGTGCGCAGGAAGAGACGAAAGCCCATGTCGTTGTAGGGAAGGCGGGAAAGCCCAGTCGATCTTAGTGGGTATTCCGGTGGTGAATGGCTCAAGTGAATATTTCAATGAAGGGTGCAGCACATCTGAAGCTGTACAAAACCACACCTTCCCCAGCCTTTATTCAAAAGGTTGATTGCCTGTACAGTCAACCGTTGTCAAAATACGACTAGCTGATTTGTTTTTCCATACCGATCGTTTATTTGCGTGAAGGAAATGAAAATTCCGAACTCTCAAAATGTGGATAATATAACTTCAGTCATTTCCAAGTAAGGTTAATCTGCCGTGACTCTCCATGGATTTCAGTGGATTCTATGTATAGAGTGGGAATCGCACTGCTTAAAAGTTAAAAGTAATATCGTAACAATCAAACGCGACTGTGGGTGGCGGTAGCAAGACTGTTATATTCATGGTCTGAATAACAAACTACGGGATAGCAAGTTGTAAAACCTAGTTGACAATCATAAATCTGCAAATTGGGACTGTGCTCAAGGTTAAACAGGTTTACTTAAGTTTTCGCACATATTACCTTGTTTAGTCGCTCAAAGCAAGCATTCCTCTCAAGGGAACAATCCTCCCCCATATACTCCGACTTGCACAGACACTTGACTTTGGCGTCATCTGTAGCAACACAACGTAAGGTGTTGTTTGACACACAAGGCGGATATTTATCGTTTAAGCAAGGGTTCTTCGGTCGACAGGTCAGAAGATGTGGATCCCACTCGGCCATCGATTCACAGTCGCATTTAAAGTCGTTCTGTTGGAACAGAAGTGATCATTTGGATAGCATTTGAGGGAAAGGTAAAGTTTGAGAGAAAGCAGTCACAGTTTAATGAATTACATTATTGTACAGCATTGAAGCATAAAGATTTCTTCCCTAATGTCGTTGTCTAAGATGATGATGATGACCAGAAAAAACATGGGATGGGCGTTACGGCAACCTGCCTGATTAGCGCAGGCTTGTTAAAGTGGAGCAAGATCCATCCGCAGAATACTACTTCACAGCGACTACCGCCATGCAGTAACAGCATTTGACCGCTGGTTCAAACTTTCGCTTGAAGCTCCATATCATCAACCACGTCTGACTTACTGACTGATAGGATATTACGACGCTATCGTCAGTGTCCCTCCCTTAAAATGAAATATACAGTGTACACTTCCTACTGGGATAGGTTTCATATCAAGGAAGATGCCTTGGATAAATCACACTTCACTGCGTAGAGGTTTATAGTTCGACCGCGGGAAGCGGCTCTGTTTGTGTTGATCGTACAAGAACCAAACGGAAATTCACAATATTTAGAAACGCTGCACCTATGCACCGTTTTAACTAATGAAAACGTCTCTACTGCCTGTATTCCATCTTGTTAGCGTGGTCATTTCTAGATTATTGCAAAATGCAGCTAAACTGACTGGATTTGCCTCTGAGACTGGTGGCTATAGCAGTGTAAAAGGGGGGCAAAATGTTCCAATAAACTTGGTCATACACACCACAAAACTATCTTGCTGAAATGAATCTAGGCAATGGAGTGCAATAAGGGTTATTTGGTTTTCTTCCCATTACTTTGCCTCCTTCAGGCTGAAACTTACTATAACAGGATCCAACATTTTTGCCGCTAGTAGACCTTCCTTGACTGCAAAACTCATTCTAGTTTTGGCTTTCCAATGAGACTGCAACTCGATTAACTTCAACACCCGACCGAAGTTTTCTCCTGTCATTCACCATCGTGTGGTAGATGTTTCGCAGCGACTGAATTATTAACGACCTACCCGATTAACGTGTTTAGTGATAGGCCATGTTTCACACGAGGGTGTGGGATTATTCTCTGATAAATATCACTCAGGAGACTAATGAGAACAAAAGAGAGCTTAATCGAGAAATAAGCAAGATCCATCCGCAGAATACTACTTCACAGCGACTACCGCCATGCAGTAACAGCATTTGACCGCTGGTTCAAACTTTCGCTTGAAGCTCCATATCATCAACCACGTCTGACTTACTGACTGATAGGATATTACGACGCTATCGTCAGTGTCCCTCCCTTAAAATGAAATATACAGTGTACACTTCCTACTGGGATAGGTTTCATATCAAGGAAGATGCCTTGGATAAATCACACTTCACTGCGTAGAGGTTTATAGTTCGACCGCGGGAAGCGGCTCTGTTTGTGTTGATCGTACAAGAACCAAACGGAAATTCACAATATTTAGAAACGCTGCACCTATGCACCGTTTTAACTAATGAAAACGTCTCTACTGCCTGTATTCCATCTTGTTAGCGTGGTCATTTCTAGATTATTGCAAAATGCAGCTAAACTGACTGGATTTGCCTCTGAGACTGGTGGCTATAGCAGTGTAAAAGGGGGGCAAAATGTTCCAATAAACTTGGTCATACACACCACAAAACTATCTTGCTGAAATGAATCTAGGCAATGGAGTGCAATAAGGGTTATTTGGTTTTCTTCCCATTACTTTGCCTCCTTCAGGCTGAAACTTACTATAACAGGATCCAACATTTTTGCCGCTAGTAGACCTTCCTTGACTGCAAAACTCATTCTAGTTTTGGCTTTCCAATGAGACTGCAACTCGATTAACTTCAACACCCGACCGAAGTTTTCTCCTGTCATTCACCATCGTGTGGTAGATGTTTCGCAGCGACTGAATTATTAACGACCTACCCGATTAACGTGTTTAGTGATAGGCCATGTTTCACACGAGGGTGTGGGATTATTCTCTGATAAATATCACTCAGGAGACTAATGAAAACAAAAGAGAGCTTAATCGAGAAATAAACTCACTTGCAAATCAAGTTGGTTTTCACGAAAGACTCAACTGAATCTCTCGTTTATGATGTTCTACAACCGAATGTGCTGCATACAGGCCGCAGTATATTTCCATAAAGGAAACTACTCACAGGGTTGATGAAAACTCTTCGACAGCCCACGACCATTTTCTCTCTTTTTGGGGCCGGTGCTACCCCCAACACCGTTTGTGGTGCTTTCGATTTCTGCCATCTCTAAACAGCTCACTCACGTTATGGCTCAAACCAATCTTCTTCACTTAAAAAGTTCGCACAAAGAGAGGAGTGTTAAGTCAGGTAACGATGACGCTGATGTTGAATGCGTACTCTGCCTGTTTTGTACGGCAAACTGCTAATAACAGCAGCTTGTTTTCACATAATTGAGAAAGCGCAGGACGAACCTCAGTACAAGAATAAAGGAGCAGCTGACTTTGTAGGTGAGCCCCTAAGTTGCACGAACAACCTGAACAAAATGTGTGACTCCGAACTAGGCATCCGAATAGGTTAGGAAACGCAAACCTTATGTTTTGCGCATCAAAGTTGTCGAGCCTTCGGGAGTCGACGCTTGCAGGAAACCGAAATTACATATATACATATGTACATATATACATATACATATACGCTTATAATCGTCTACCGACAAGGTTAGAAAATACTCGCACTCTGAAATGAGTTACTTTCTACGTAACCAAAGCAGTTCTCAAGTATCAAAACAAACGCCATACAAGCAGCCATATATTTTTCAAACACACCCTCATCTATCGTAATCTGACAGATATCTGACAGACCAAAATCTAATAATTCTCTTTGTGTTGATTACCTCAAATGAACCAGTCACCTCACAGATTTTTGTGTTGTTCACCAAAGGGATTCTGCGACATGGATTCCCAAGACACGGGTCGGGGCAAGTGGCTTCCAATTTTGAACGTAGGTCCGTTTTCCTGCTTGCATCGGTCATTTCGTCATACTTTGCCCACCCCTTCCGTATGCATCAAGAATGAAAAGAGAAGGAAATTTCACATCGTTACACTGCTCACTCAAACACTGAATGACTGGGCATATTGATTAAGCTGGCGAAAGATGCTGTAGATTTCTACCAAGAAAGGTACTGCAATTCACGGCAAATCTTCCACTGAAAAAGACCTTACTAGATGGAACCACAGTCAGGAGGAATACACCCAATAACAACCAAGGTGAATGAGTGTATAGTTATGCACCCAGTGGTAGAAGCAAGATCGGTGCTGTTCGTCTTCCCAGTCAATCTTAGTTATATTATTCAGTCGCGAAAACGTCTCGTCAACTAGGGAAGACTTAAAACTAAGCAAGAGTTCTCTTGTGACGTGAGATTTCTGTCCTATAAACACTAAAGAAAACTTACATTTGTGTGCATTCATTGGTTTTCACATGCTGGCCATGCAAAGTAAACTGTTTTTGAGCTAAGAGAAAGAGTTTATTGTTTTCCGATTATTTGGAGTTTATCGACAGCAACTTGGTCACAGGGTTCAGCTTATCGATGTTGAACCCAAGCCTGTCAAATTAGACGTTTTCACTGGTATAATGATCTGTGACACTCAACCTATGTATTGACTGAAATGGCTGATATCCTGAATTGAGACTAAACCCGAATCAACATCAAAATATAGTAATAAAAGTTGTTAATGTAGTTCAATAAAATTATATGTACTTTGTTGTTGATCTGTTCGCCAAGCTTCGCAGTTGTATTGCAAACGTTTCACCATTGACGTCGTCTGTGCGGGGTTGACGACCGATGATGTCACCTATATTGATGACACAAAAAGTTTACCAACCAACTACCATGCTCGGCGAACAAACCAACAACTAAGCAGCACGCCCGAGTTACCTACATTCCGCAAGATTGCCATTGCGTGTACGTCATATGTACGACTAAACTAACGCCAATGAAACGGACAGCACCATGCCATGTGAACCGAAAATAGATTGAAAACAACTTTTATACTTTTCTACATTAACGAAATAAATACTACGGGAATATATCCGGGAGTGTTAGTGATTCGAAGGAATCGACCTGCTGCAGTTTCGGTTAAGCAATTCTGGATAAGGGAGTCTATGTGATCAAGTTCGAAAGGCCGTAAATCTCTGTACTTGTACGCTTCGAGGAATTGCGGGTTCGGTTGGGAAGCTGAGCCGTTTTCTAAACTATTACTTTTATAATTAGATAACAGGACCGTATGATTTCACTCCCGATAACTTGTGATCCACTGTGTAGAATTAGTAACGCGACTAGAATAGGATAGATGCACCATGAACTTTTGACAATGATAAAATGAGCAGACGACAGAAAGCCTAGGTAATTGCCACAGCGGATGGAAGGCTTTTCTAGTTAACATTAACTTGATGGACAGGTCATCGTAGTGGTTTATGAAAAGAATTGTTTTGCAAAGAATGCGGCGGAGATGTTAAGTTTAATTATACGAAATACCTAACGGCCTTTTCGAAGGAATAATATTTTGTGGGTATCGGAGTTCTTCCATTAATATCCCCTGCCAACTTCAATTCATCCGAGCCATCGAGGGAATCGCTTTCTGGTATTTAAGTATCCATGTTACCATAACGTATTTGGGAGACCCCTTTTGCTACTGATAACATTATCAAGTCGACTATTGTAAAGAACAACTAAAGACTGGGGGAATGCTGGTGCTCTATTCTCAAAACCCATTGGACGCTGGAATAACCGGACAAATTGGTTTGTTCACGTCATGGACGGGGGCTGAAAGTAAACCAGAATTTGCCAAAACATGCTTGAGAGATGAAAACGAAAAAAATGGAAAGTCAATCGTGACCGCAAGATCTACGCACATTTTTCGGATTGTCAATAAATGCCCTTGGTTTCTGACGAGGAAGAATACATTACACAGGAATACTGGTGAAAGGAAGAAGGCCTTCGCTGCGGAGTTATCTATTCGGAAATGCCAACTGACCGGTTAAAGACCATTGAACAAGGAAGCAAAACTCTAGTCTGCATCTTAGTTACAAAAACTGGACACAGATCTTCTCCCGAAAGAGTCTTCCTGGAGATTCATTGCCTCCAATCATTCGTCGGTCAAATGAAAGCAAATGTTACAAAGTGGCCCCTCGAATTCCGCAACAGAATTCCATTTTTCAATCGACGCAAAGCGAAATTCCACGAACAACACATTCTAATCGCGTGTCTCCCGATCAGTAGTATCACCGTTACACTGGTATTCTACGTGGTTTCACTAGCGTGGCCAGGTAGAATGATAGCATCAATAATGATTGTCTGCGGAAAATGAGATTTGTAGGTTAGCCTGCCGCCGTTGGACAGCTTGTTATACTGGTGCATATCAAAGTGTCTAGAGCCTGCGTCTCTTTTCTGCCGAAAAATCAACCACATTGTGATAGAAAACCTGGGGGCAAAAGAAACGTTAACAAACAGTGATACATTTGGTTCAAAAGAAGAACCATGCCACGCCAAGAATACGCGCTTAGTTGAGTCGTGTCGATTTAATAAAATGTCAAAAACAAGATGTGTTGCCAAATTAACTCAAGATAGCTCATTAGTTAAGCCATGAACTTAAGGACCGGAAAGTTCCCAGTAACCCCCTTCAATCAACTTTCTTGACTAGGCTTGGGCAACCGGGCAGTATCTCAACCTTCACGCTTCCTTTGGATGGCATGGCAGCTGGGCAAGGTGTATTACAGTAACCCCAACACTTCAACTTTCTTGACTAGGCTTGGGCAACCGGGCAGTATCTCAACCTTCACGCTTCCTTTGGATGGCATGGCAGCTGGGCACTAAAGGTGTATTACAGCTGAAAGGTTATTGTCAAAGTCTATGGCCATATTTGTATGGCGTGATCCTCTAGGTAACGGGAAAGTATGTGAGTGAGATGCTGTTAGCGCCTGTTAGCCGATATTGTGTTCCGTTCGTCAGAGGCCGCTCCTATTTGAATGAGGCCAAACAGTTTACTAGGTTACCTTATCCTGGTAACTAACAAAATTTCTGCGGTGTGATCAAATGCACGCTCGTCTTATATACCAATGTCTACACGTCATATATATATATATATATATATACCCACAGCCCACTTTTTGTGACAAATATGATAAAACATACCATTGTGCACCACTGATAGAGAAAAATTATCGGCATGCCTTGTAATGGATCTATCAATGTATTCATCAAATTCTTGGCATTGTCCGGAACCTTCTCACAGTCTGCTCTAGAGCCGTCGGGGGAACAGCATTTCCAAGGCTTTTTGTCGTTACCCTCGCAAAACTTTTCTTTGACGACACTGCGAAACTTCGTGTACGAATCCTCTGGCGCGGTCTTTAGATCGAAAACGCCCCCGAAAATGGGCTTGAAGTAGTCATCTTAAATGGATAGATGGACAAACGTATAGTCGTGTGTGATACTAGAAAACGATCACGAGTGAACAGTGTCCCAACAACCCTAATTCAAGATGAAAAGGAAGCGTAATATAAGTCACTGCTTGAAAATTTCATTGAGACTTCTTTTCTCCACCTTATTAGGACACGCGAGTCTGTTTAGTGATTCAGATACAGTTAGACGATATAACACTTAAAATGTAAGGTGTTGGAGTGAGCACCCTGCCTTGAAAAGTAAACCGGAGCAAAAACACTCTAGCAACAGTTAGGAATAAGCAAAAGCGTATCACCTGGAATGCTCCAGCGACATCTTCGCACCTAATTTTTGCATAGTATACTATATAAAGTGATTATTTTAGGCGATCGGAATTGTCCAGGCAATCATACACTTTTTGTTATTAAGTCATGTTGACCCTTCCTCGTCTGATGGATTTCGCGCTTGTTCTTTCTTGCGTTCGTGTTATGCAATCGTTTGCCTGTTTGTATCATCCATCGCCTAATCAATTTAATCCGAACATCACGACCAGAAACATTGAAAACAAACATGCTTCACTTTCAGCTGCATCATCTGTTCTGTGGCTATGACGCGAAACCCTGAACGACTAAAAGAACTATCGTCTTTAGTTCCTCAAGGCAGAGAACGGACGAATTTCTAAAACATACCTGGAAAACCATCACACGCGTTGTTTATTCACATGCACTCAGAGAAACAGTAAAAAAAACGGTTGCAGTGTGCGCGTTCAGTAGTACGTATTAAGTGATAAAAGCCGTTCTACATAAACATCCATTTATTCCATATTGTAGAGAGACAATTCAGTAGCTTCATGGAGTGAACTTTAACCAAGAAACTCAGATGTGCTGAAAAGCCCGGTCTCTGTAATTTGAAGGTTACTAATCTCATAATTAGGGACTTTGAAAAGGACGACCTTCTTCAACACTGAAAGTCATCGTCCATGAGGTAGTACAGGAGATTTCCCTGTATTTATGATATTTTTAGTAAAATTCAACCTATTTCTATCAATTCACTTGATTTCTGCAGGCCAACGAGCAGTTTGTTTACCGCCATCTATCATTTTGGGAGTTTTTGTGATATAAGGCATTGTACCGAACATTTGACTATGTACATCCAGTAGGTTGCGCAGTCATCACTAGTAGATATCACTGACGATAGAAACAGAGACGAAAAGAGAAACGTGTGACAATAGCAAGCTAAGCCACAGAGTTCAAAAATAGAAAAAAGTCATTTTAGCTTTTCAGGTGAAACTGTATGAAGCGGTCAAAACCAGACAACTCGGAGGTTGATCGGTGCATGAAAAACATTCGACCCGCCTCCCGAAAGGTGACAGACGGCAAAATTTCTTTGGCGAGCACTCCTAAAGGTCATTTTCTAAGCTTCGCATTGAAAGTGACCATGGTAATTCTTGGAAGAATTGATTTTTCGCCATTTAATCAAACCCCATAACGGCCATTCGGACTTTATGCCATTCACCAGACAATGCCCCAACTGGTGACCACCTAAAGCCGATCAGAAAACTCTGCAAGCTTCGCCATGAAAAAAATCTTCTTCTTGTCTCGGATACACCTAATTTCCTCTGTAGGCTTCCGTTCAGTGGTTTTAGCATCTTAGCTTGGCAGTAATTGGATGCAACCCAATGTTTCTTCACGAGTGGCACTACTCATAAGATTGATCAGAAATCGTCAACCAAAATGAATAAAACACGACACCCACCGTTCCATTGCTCCTCTCGATATACGCGTGTGCCACCGCGACAGGCCAGTGACGGCTGCCAAGCACAAGTCTTTGTGTTCACACTATACTACTCAAAACCTCTTGGAAATAAAAATCTTGGTCGCCTCACCGAACAAGTAGTCATTGTTAAATCTTGTTAAAATACATACACCACGATTCAAAAACAAAGATAAATAGAATGTAACTTTAATTTTACATCATGCGGTGACAGAATTCGTCGATGAACAAATCCCACAAGGGACCTGAAATAAGGCATTACCAAACGTGCCGGTAAACTCACATCTGTACCGCTAGAAAAAGATCGGAATTAAGATATCTTAAAACACGTAATAATAAATCGCAGATAAACTGACGAGTTCACCAACTGAAGGAGATCAGTAGAGATTATAAAGGCACACATCAATAACGGTACAATAACGTTACCACCAAGAAGAACCACCATTATTTAAATAACTAACTGATTAAATGGAAAAATACTGGCTGCTAGTACATTATCAGGAACTTTCAAATTCTACGGTTGATCCTCAGTCAAACTATTTCTAGGGAAAACTTAATCACGCGAATTCAAACAGACATAATGCAAGTAGACGTAATGTACTACCAATAAGACTGCTGAAGACTTCGAAAACCTTACGAGTAGTGTAGTACGTCTATTGAATGTATCACGATATCTCAAATATCGTACCAACTGAAACATAAAGTGGCCAACTGCAGCACCTTCAGTTGCTTAAGAACACTATCACTGAGAAATTCAGCTAAATTCCAGGTAAGTCTCCCGTCAAAACCAAACTGGTATGCACATGAGTGCATTTCGATAATGCTAGTAGATTTCCAACCATCCTTTGAACACAAGAGATATGTTTGGCTTATCATTTACTACTGGGCTTTGCTATCATTATATACTGTCCTTGGTTTTGGTGGAGTAAAACCAGTCCGGCCGACAATAATAACTCTGAGCTGCTAATTTCTTTACCATAGAGAAAACTTGTAGCTTGGCCTCTTGTCCAGATCTACTAACGGCTTCAGTGCTTTATGAACCTGTTAATATTGTTCATTTTTACTTCCTATATATATGTATATATATATATATAGTGTTCGTCAGCTTTCCATAAAAATCAGTGGATAACACCACTTGCACAAATACTTTCAAAAACCTCACCGGAATTACATCAGTGTCGTAATTATCTAGCCTCGAAGCACGACTTTCACCTACCAACTGATCTGCAGAGTACTATGAACCTAGGTGTGGACAGGTTTGTAGTGCAGTTAGCTTGAGTTTTAGAATAATAGAAAAGTACGGTTTTTATTTTCTTCTGAGTAAAGTGATGTCATATACTGATAATTTCGCTTATGAGACAAACCCATCGTGTTTACATGAATAAGACATCTGTCGAGGGTAAACAACTCGAGCTTAAGACACCGGTCAATATGACTGAGAGCTTTTGAGGATGATGATATTCTCTAACCTGTTTTTTGCACGCACTTCACTTATGGACTCTCATCGTTTGTGCACGCCAAAGTGATAATTTTGCTTTATTTAAAGGCTTGCGGAGTAGTCGCGGCACAGCTTTTAACCCATGAAAAGATTTGATGGTTAAGGATCAACAGAATTTTATAACCTCGACCTACTACCTGAACAGTGTTTTTATGCTTCGAGCTTGCTACGGGTAACATTGCCTAGGTAGCGGAACTCGATTCTTTCCAGAACCGTTAAATTAGGTACAAAAGGTTTGCCCTTGCTTGATCTGCCTTGGTCGCGCGACCGTTTGACAAATGCAACACAGTCTTCTCCGCCTTGCATAGTCATTTGAAGAAATTGATTGCTGAGATATTACACCAAATCCTTATGTTGGCAACGAACGGTTGTTTTTTACTTAGAAAATTAGTTGAACTATTCAGACTAGATTGGCCGGTGTGGGACTCGTTGCCTAATCCAAAAGCTGCAAGCTGGTAGTCGTTCTTGAAGCCGCCCGTTGAGCCTTATTCAACGGTGATAATCTTTTACTGGAAAACGTTTCTGAAGATTGGTGAGAAAAATGTTTTGGTGTACTACAGCAAACGATCCACAAATACTTATCCATTCATTGGGATTTTTCATCTTCCCAGCTATTGCGTGCCACCAACAGTTTTGTGCGATTCCAGGCGCATTTAACATGAGGCCATCGACTGCTACTATAATCAAGGAAGCTTGTCCAATCGCCACTTCGTGGTTTCTCGTTATCCGACTTCGTGCTAGGTGGTCGATAGCTAGTTGCACATTGTTTGTCACTACGCTAATAGAACACTCGCGATTTGAAAGAGTAGTCAAGCTTCTTTCTGAGGATAGCAGCAGGAAATGAAGATAACATGGTCACCAAACTTTACATTATTTGCCGTTGGAATGTTGAAACGAAATTTGTTCACCTGCTAATCGGCACACTTGATGCGTAGCTATATATCTGGCATTCTCTTGTTGTTTGTTACAGTAATGGTGATATCTCTGAACGATGTAACACGAGGAGTGGTGCTTCCATGCCATCCTATCTTATTTGACCTGATACCTATGCTAAAATAATATTATCCATTTTTTAATTTTTATCCTAATTTGTTATTATTTTTATTCAATTAGTACGCATTTTCGGATGGAATTCATAGGTTTCAGAGCCCACTCTACCAGCGACGTTCCATGTTTTTGAAATTTTATGCTCAGATTTCGAGTTTTTGACATTATTCACGCATTCCACTCAACATTCTGCGTTCTTAATCAATCTAGAATGCTGTTGTGGAGCACAGGAGCGCACAAAACATTAACTGAACACCACTTAAACATCTTCCATATCAACGTTCGCATTTTAGACCTTTTTCCCAATCTTAACGAACCTCTCTGGGATTCTGCCAAGCTTTACGCTATATCTAGCTTCAGTAGTTACTGGTTGTCCACCTTTTATAGTGCGCCAGTTGTAACTTCTTCGTAATGTTGGTCAATAATATTCTATAACTCGATTTATCTGTCCCGAAACGCATCACTTTGGTCTAGTAAACCACTGAGCGATAAAGAGTCCTTCCATGAAAGTCACCAACTCAGCGATAACCCTGTTGAGTTTGGTGAATTAGTTGGCTTATACTAGTATATTGAAGATAGATTCAGATCGGTGTAAACCAAATTACAAACTCACTCTTGAAAGTAGGAAGGACAGTCTCATTGCGAAGTTAAGAAATCATGCAGAATGCAACCACCGGAACAGTGATCGATTCAGACGCAGAAGAAGTTAGCAAACCAAGAAAATTTTATCTACCTTGGAGTAGCCCCACTTAGAAGGTGAAGGCTCCATCTGTTTCGAGCTTGGTGGCGGCGGTACTGACAGTCACCAGAACATGTCATTCGTTAGTCAGTGGTTCGTTTCGCCAATAATGTTCCTATCATGTAAAATTTAAGTTCGTGAACCACAACGTGGTCTTTATGACCTGACCTGCATTTTTATCAAACTATTTGCACAAACGCAAGCGAATTTTACGGTGTACTTCATCATTGTAGCTCACTGTCAGCAACGTGTTGCACATTGTTCCCAGATCGCCT